CATGACCACAAGCCAATGTCTTTGGTTAGTATTTCTTCTGACTCCCAACCGGATGGATCCCACTGGTCACAACTTTTCACTAGAACTCTAGTCAACTTCATCGTGTAGCCAATCGCTAGCTGGCATCACATTAATTTTTGAGAGTTGGTTAACTGAATTAACTAGAATAATAATCATGATAAAATAAGAAAATAAGATAACCGTATCAAATGTTAGTTACAAGGATGGAGGAAGATCACTTGTGAGACTCTATAAATATTATATGGACGGCCAGGGTAAAAAAGGAGACTGCAGGAATTTCTCTTGAACACAGTTTTGGCATGTTTAGAAGAATTTTCATTTCATTTCTTGTATGTAAAAGTCGTAATCGTAGAGGATGTGAAAGTTTGGTTGGAATACGATAAACATTTTTAAAGGCTTCGTTAGTGTCCAGGATTGATGACATGAGTTAGTAGTGAGCTGAGGAAGGTTTTATTAGATCCTTTTTCAGGGTGGAGCCATCGATCAGGAACAAAGGGGATTTTGAAATTACTTTCAATGTGTGAAGATTCGTAGTGATAGATAATTCCCTAAAAAATTATTGGTCTACAGCACTCATTACTCAACACTGGATGCTTACCTTCAATGTTTAAGCCAACTTGTTCAACTGAAGGCAAGTTGTCAAGTTTCCACGCCAAATGGCACGCTGTCGTGTTACATTCGTTCCTTCGTGTACGATCCCTGGCTAGTTAAGCAACCATCCTTGCACTACAAATTTGATCCCAAAAAATACTTCGTATTTTGGACGATTGATTTAGTGTTTTGATTTTTCCTTTTGGTCTACTCAGAAGAAATACTATAGAAGTTGTGGATATAGGAAACTTAGTATCCGCCATACTTTCTGTAAATGTCAACACGCTCTCCTCCCCTAAAAATTCTTAATTATTTTATAGTTTGGTATTTTCACTGAATCATTGTTTCTCTGATGGATGGATGGATGGTAAATATTTTGATGAATACTACTTAAATGCCCACTTGAAAAAAACCATTTTTACTACTCATCGTATTTGTTATCGTTGTAATCGTGACAAGTATACAATCATTACATTACTTGCGATCTGTTTTATACGGTTTCACCGAAACTACTAAAATTTATCATCAGTAGACCGTTGAATTATAATAAATTTTTACTTTTAAATAGCCGTATGTCAATTTCACACCAAATAAGTTTATTTCATATAATACATAGTGATACTGTATTATTAACTCTGTGATATTTCGATTGTAATTTATTGCTTATATTCAGATCATACTGCTCATATCATATCCAATTTCTACTCTTACATTAGTTATCCGTCAAATCTATAGGATATCGACGGGAAAATCTAAAATTGAATAAAATAATTAATATGACCCGTTGCACAAGAGGTGGCTCTCGTGGCGCAAGTAGTCTAGTGGATAACGACGCTTCTGCACTTGAGACTATTGGCACTGGGTTCGAGCCTCAGTGGGAACACCATCACTTACTGGGGAATGCAGGTATATTCAGTAGCTGATGAGTCCCAAATAGGACGAAACGCGCCGCATCCGGGATTCCACTACTAGTCACCATCCAACAACTGACTATAGGACATATGTTTACAGAGGAATCCCTGAACTGTCTGCATAAAAGCAGTTTGTCTAGTTCCTTTTAATACCCTGGCCATAAACCTTATTCGACTTGTGGAATAATTTGATATGTAAGTCATCTTCATGTGTTTTTTCGTTCTTTGTATTCAAACTCCTAACTTTAAAACATACTTTATACGTATTATGAATCTCTTACACTTATGAGCAGTATTCCTGTCTTCACCAGCTTATATTTTGAATGACAATCATGTCTGGATGATATTCATCGCTTAGCATGCTTAAGTTACATAAGGCTACTTAGGCAAGTCTTGAAGTTTATCAATTTTCCGTTCTGATACACGATTTCATGTTCTATTTCAAACTACCATTGTTCACTGACCTTTGTGCACTTTTGCCTGACCTTTTTGAACACTATTTAACTGTATAGCATTGAAGGGAAGTTACGGAAAGTATTATCTTTGCTTACCTATGTCTTTTGAGTCTGTATTAGGTGATAAACGTCTATCCCAAGCAAACTACTAAGACGCATTACCCTGGATGATTAACTTCGATCGGAATAGGCTGGATTCAGGAGGAATAAGTTATACATCTATCGAATCGCAACACTACGTATCGTCATTGAATAGAGCTTGGAATGACAGTCAGCTCTCTACCTCACTCGACTTCATCGACTTTGAAAATGCCTTCGATAGCGTCGATCGAGAGGTGATTTGGCAACTAATTCACTACTACCGGGTGCTGCCAACAATTATCCACCTCATTTAACAGTTGTTGTACAATAATGCTGCATGCTAAGTAATCCACAACGAGGAACTCACGGAACCTTTCGAAGTGAAGACGGGAGTAACACAAGGTGGTTGCCTGCTATCTCCAATGATCTTCCTGATTGCGGTAGACTGGATAATGCGACAGACAGCAGGCCGAGAAACGAAGAGACAGGCATGAAATGGACCCACACAAAAAACATGAAGGATGTGGACTTCGCCGATTATATATGTCTGATTTCCCACAAACTGGAAGATATGCAAGTGAAAAGCAACAAGTTGGCAGAAGAAGCATCAGAGATAGGACCTCGGGTGAACTTTATTAATAAATTCTTTAGGCTGTACTCAGCTAATGAGAAGTCAACGAAATAAGCCACGATGGTACCATCTTATTCTGCACAAACTGTTGTTCTTGCTTCACTCAAATCCACAAAAGGGGTGTATAAAGTTTTATGAAAAAAGTATACTTGTTGAACGATAACTCGACATAGTTTTTAGTTTCTGTATTCATATTTAGTTTATACGAAAGGTTGTATCATTAGATAAACAGAGCTATTATCAGCTTAATACTGAATCACTAGGTAATATCACGTGTTATAGCATCAAGTGGAACCTGAGTGGAAAAAAATTTTAAGTTGGACGTTCGAGAATGAGATGAGAGCTTTCGGGGGATCGTGGGACCAACGGATGGGGACTAGAGAGCAGAGAATGAAATGTAGATGTGCTGTTGACGACCTGTGTTCCATTCGAAACCTGAGGGGAATAATGATAATAATCATACTGAATCACTGATATTTATTTGTTCACTGAATGAGTAAAAATCATTAAAGTATGACATCCAAACTGATTAAATTACAAAGAAGTACTAATGTTGGTCATTGATCATTAATACACCCACAGTAGTAACTTGACAGTTCCCATCTGATCTTTGGATTCTTAGTTCTCAACGATTCTTCAACTGACGATGTTAGTTCTAACTTTGCTTTACGAATATATGCTTTGTATGTTTCCTCAAATGTATGTAATACATAAGATTCTTAACATACATTATGAGAATATTTTTCAGACGATCTTGCTAATATTAGATAGTTGGATGCAATCGGCAGGAAGCCTTGCTTGACCTAGGTTTCGTGCTTGTTGGCACTCATCAGCAAGGCGTATCTGCTACCTTGAAGGAACTCATGTCCCATCTGAGATTCGAACCCGCGTCACCCAGTGCTGCAGTCAGAGACGTTACCACTGAGCTATTCGGACTCGCGAATGACCTCCTGTAGGACTGCAGTGGGTATTTACATTGGAAACTAGTAACTAGTGTGATATGTCTAGTCCTTTCTTTGGTGCAGACTGAATTCTATCAGTCAGGTTTTGCAGTTTGGCCACCATTCTAGGTAGCTCGCCATCACGGTGCACATTGATTTAATGATATTAGATAGTTGGACGCAATCAGCAGGATCTTGCTAATATACCGATGAAAAAGGGTTTAATAAGTTGAGTTGGTTAACAAACTCAAGTGAAAAACGTTTTACAACTGAATATGACTTGTTTTGTTACATTGTGAAGATTTTATAAATGAATTGACACTTTCAAGTAAACCATATTTTGGATATTAAGTCAGAATTTTTTAAAGAAAATTTGATGTGTAGTTTATTACACAGTCATACACTAAATAACATTTGAGTTTGCATTTCATGCTTCTAATCATTACAAAGTAGGAACTTAACTATAAAGCCTCGGGTAGGAGTTTTTGCTATTCATCCAGGCCAACTATGTAAGACTCTTCTAGATGTCTAGATCAATTCAGTTGGGTATACTGTAAATTATAGTATAATAAAGGTCTTCAACTGGATACCCTTCTTTACAGGATTTTCATCATGAGCTGACATTAGTTAGAGAACCATTGAAAAACCTGGGAGTACTGGACAGCTGTTTCGTTCTAGTTTGGAACTCTTCATCAGTACGCACTCACCCTTCTATTGTACTGTTTTGAATGTCATTATGTGTGAAATAATAGAAACGTCGTCCTTTTGATTATTAATCATTCAGAAAGTCTTATACTGTGGGATTAGGACTTATTGTATAATCGTGGGACCAGTGGACGAGGATAATAATAATCATTCTGAATAACTGATATTTATTTGTTCACTGAATCAGTAAGAATCGCTAAAGTATGACATCCAAACTGATTAAATTACAAAGAAATACTAACGTTTGAGAAAAAACACCTACTATAATATCAATTTTCAACTTTTTTCAAATTAACAAATACTGATTACATAATATGCCTTAAATAAATGTTGCAATCACTCAGGATAAATAAGCTGGAACAAAAGTATAACTTTTCAGGATAAATAATTAATTATATGAAGGAGGAAAAGATGAGAATGTTTGTTAGAAATGCCTTGGTATAAATAATCGAATGAATAGCTAGCTACACAATTTCGCCAGAAATAGTTTCTTACAGATGCTTATTTTTGATACGAAGTTTGAAAGTAATCTAACCTTTAGTATAAATTAGTTGTTTCCCTTCAAATGTTGTTATAGGATGACGGGTAGGATAACTCAAAAATTCTCTGTCAGTTACCGTGTTGTTTTTTCACAGTTACTGACAAAAACAGATGACTTCAACAATTAATATGGTTGTAATGCAGCAATTGAAAAGGGTAAATATTCTTCCTGATATTGAATATCAGATTTGTTTGGATAGTTTAAAACCGCCATATTTGATTTATTATTATTATCATTATTAGCATCAATTGTTTGATGAATGTCTTGATTCATTTGCGTGTTATGAAGAAATAACTGGTTTAAGATAATTGTAGAACATAGTCCACTTTGGGAATCTTGTAAATCAGGTTCTTCTAATTTCAATGTAGTACGTTCATCAATTTGCAGGGGATGACCTTCTACTTCATCGACTGGTTTTGAGTTGTCTAGGAAACTAGAATACGTCGGCTCTGCCTTCTGACATTTAACAAATTGTTTGTCTGTGTTTGTTTTACTAATTTGACGTCTTCTGTTATTTTTCAACTTTACGGCTTCATTGCTTGTTTTAAAAACTGATCGTTTGGTGTACTTTTTAATTTCAAATGGATTTGGCGCAAAATGTCTGTAGTCAGACGTGTTGTTTGAGGCCCAGTAGTTAGAATTCAGACACTTTTCCTCATGTTTTCCATCAGGTAATTGTTGAAATTCATTTGATGTGGAACAAAAGAGATTGTAGTTTAAATTTTCAGTCTCAGTGGTTAATTTACTCTTGTTGTGTTTGACGCTTTTCAAACGATTGGTTTGTTCAATATTCATTGAATTCCGCCATTTATTCCAGTAATGACGATGATGTTGGTGATGATGATAAAAGTAATAGGAACTTGTTGACTGTAGTGAATTAAATTTTGGTAAATCTTTTTTCAACACTCTTGTCCATAATTTTGTCAGATTATTTTTTCCCGGTTTACGTATTAATGAGAAGTAGCTGCCATTGTCGTTATGTCGTGATCGTATGTGAAGTTTTAAAGATGATCCCTGAGTAAAGGCTACACCACAAGCTGAACATGAATACGGTTTATCACCTGTAATGAGGGAAATTTACAAAGAATTGAAATATTAAATATGCGGTAAAATTTTTTAACAGATTCACAAACATATATATATAATATAAGACATAAACTACTTGGAAATTATTTATAATCCATCAACTAGTCTCCTTTCTGAAAAGAATGCGGTGATACTCTATCCACAGTGGTGAGGAATCATATAAATCCACAGTTCCCCTTTGTATATACTCAGTGAAGGTAAGTGTCAACAAAGTAGTGCATTTAAAGCATACGTATACTCTCCATGATCACGGTGACACTTTGCGGAATATGTCAGAATCGTAGAATAATCAAACCCTACACCAAAATGGAATTAAATAAATCCTCACGGCAAAAAAGTTTTAGTACACATCTGGATATTCATCCACATGTTGATCATGCTGACAAATCCAAATCACTACCTATACAGCTCCGATAAACCTGGATATCTAAGAAGTAATGAAAATATACTGACAGCTGCATTTCGAATCCCACTGACTCATTCGTTGGTGATATTCTACTCCTGCATGCTTCATTCGTCAGTTTGCATGGATTAGTTAGCAGTCATTCTGGTTCCTGACTGAAATGAATCAAAAAATTCACCGGTTGCTGAATCATTAATACTTCTTTGTATATTTTGATTGGACACTAGTAACTAGTGTGACGTGTCTAGTCCTCTCTTTGGTGCAGACTGAATTCTGTCAGTCAATTTTGCAATGTGGCTACCTTTCCACTAGATGGCTCGCCATCACGGTGCACATTGATTTGATGATATTAGATAGTTGGAGGCAATCGGCAGGAAGCTCTACCTGAACTAGATTTCATGCTTCTTCACACTCACACCAGTCAGCAAGGCGTATCTGCAACCTTGAAGGAACTCATATCCCCTCTGAGATTCGAACCCACGTCACCCAGTGCTGCCTGCAGTCAGAGACGTTACCATCTAATATCATTTCTTTGCATGTTTAAATGGATACTTACATCTGAGGTGAGCCTCTTGTCTGATGATATTGCTGAAAACATTGATGTCGGTAGACTAACTAACGTTTAACAGGCCATTTTTATACTTCTGCGAATAGCCCACCATGTTGACTACATGTAACCCAACACTCACTTGTTAGGCGCGTTTTCGACGAATTCAAACAATAACGGTGCCTAGGATTATATCATATAAATTGTTTTAACCTATATAAGGTGTGCTTACTGAAATTATTCCATTACTTTTCCTTGTATATATCCGGTGTTGTTGTGAAAAATTGTAAATATGTATATAGTACTTATCATATGTATGATGCCTGTGAACTGGCGTCCCTCATGTAAATAAAATGAGAATATATTATTATTATTATATGTATGTTTCATTAAAGTACGTTTATTACTACTAGAACTACTTATCTAAGCAGAATCGTTTCAACTACAGGCGGATGGTACAGATAAATTTATGAAAGCCAGAGTGGGAAAGGTAAGACAGACTATTGTCACTCTACAATCTTCTCCACCAGGAAAAATGAATTTTCAACATTAATGTCAAATCAGTCAGTTCCCCTATATGGATTAGAAATTTGGTATGCATGTTACCTAAAGCATTACTAGCAGGCCACTGCAGAGTTTTATCAATAGCTGCCCCCTTCACTGACTCCATATTGAAGATCAAATGGCTGGCTGGTCAGAAAGAATTAGCTACAAGAAACTCTGAGAACGAACCAACCAAGAACCTGTTACTTAACAGATATTCCGTTGAAGGTGGGAATGCATTAGATGCACACTGAAGAGACCGCTGAATGACACTGCACACCAGGCGAACCCTCGAGTGGAACCCAAATGGGAAACGAAGAGTTGGACTATGGTCCATGGGTGGCAAGGAGGAGGTGGGAGTTTATGTGCAATGATGAGGCCAGTTGAAGAGGACTGAATAGAACAGGGCAATGTGGAGATGCGCTGTTGATGGTCTATGTTTTACTGGGAACTCAAGGGAATAATACCCATAAATTTTATATAATAATAGGGTATGAGTGAATATGTATATATCTAAACAAATGGGAGGGATTCATAAGAGTTTCCCTTTTAAAGGCTATAATCGTATATATATAATGATAATCAATGTAGGTCTCAATTTCTAAGTATCTATGGAAATCTGTCATTAAGCTGTGCAGTATGGTCACTAGAATAAGTAAATCATTGCTGTTGACCTCAACTTTGACTGAATACCAGGTATTAAGTGACTACTGTTCTGCGTCTAGTTCTTATTTTGGTGCAAACTGAATCCATTCTATCAGTCAAGTTTGCAATGTGGCCACGATGCTTCTTCCACTATTTATTTACCCTTAGTAATTTTCTGCGTTATTCATTACAACATTATTACTCACTGGTAATTCCTGCATAGGATTTTCTGAATTTTACTGATAGTTAACACTAAAGAACTTTAAAATTCAGTAAGCATTACTACTGAGACCTACAATAAATACTTCAATATTTACCAAGACTAAATAGTTTCCTAGGAAATCTCAAATTCTAATAACACCTTATGCTTTTATCTCATGACATTTTGGTAGTATTTAATGTTATATGGAAAAAGTATATTCTTTTTTCACTTCATTTTAAGGTAAGCAAAAATACAGTAATAACTACAACCCGCCTCTGACCTCAGTAGTGTCATTTTCTGAGTGGTGAGTTGAACTGCAGTGAGAAGGAAAGGTATCTCGTCCTAGCGTGGGACTCTTCAGTAATGCGCATCTAAAGTCCCATCGGTGTTCATCTCATTGAGTGTGAGACAGTTACCAACCGATTTCAGTGGTAAGGCGTGGATCCATATGGCAGATGTGACAGTAGTTGCAATTCATTGGTCATTGATACACCCACCATGGTAATTGGATAGTTCCCATTTGATCTTTGGCTTCTTAGTTCTCAACGATTCTTCAACTAACGATGCTAGTTCTAACTTCGCTTTACGAATATATGCTTTGTAAGCTTCCTCAAATGTATGTAATACATAAGATACTTTACATACATTTTGGGGGTGAGTATTTTTCCGACAATCTTGCAAATATGCAGTCTGTTACGTAAAATTATCCCAATAATGTCAGTGAAAATGGTGTTAGCAAGATGAGTGGGTTCACAAACTCAAGTAAAATACGTTTTACAACTGAATATTACTTGTTTGGTTGCATTGTGAAGACTTTATAAATGAAATGATATTTTCAAGTAAACCATATTTTGGATATTAACTAAGAAATTTCTAAGAAAATTTGATGTGTAGTTTATTACACAGTCATACACTAAATAACATTTGAGTCTGCATTTCATGCTTCTAATCATTACAAAGTAGGAACTGAACTATAAAGCCTCGGGTAGGAGTCTCCTATTCATCCAGACCAACTATGTAAGACTCTTCTAGATGTCTAGATCAATTCAGTTGGGTATACATCAGTCAGGCAACCATTGGAAAACCAGCTGGTAGTACTGGACAGCTGTTTCGTCCTAGTTCAGGACTCTTCGTCAGTACGAATCCACTAACGGGATCGAACCCAGGACCTTCTGGGTACAAGTTGAGCTCGTAGACCATTAAGCCACTGGGACCGGACCAATAGCCAGCCCATGAATTCTAACTTCTGCCAATTCATAACATAACGCGAAGGCCAGCCAATGTCTTCGGCCAGTTTTTGTTCTCGCACCTGACCTACAAACTTATATTTGAAAATCGATGAGATGCTCACTAGCGACTGGCCCTATTCAAGTAAGCAGCTACCTGGGGTTCTAGTGGGAAGTCATGACCAGTATGGTACTGTAGTTCGGAGGTGTGAGGACAATTGCTCACCGAAGACATTGACTAGTGGTTGCGCTATATCGTGAATTGACAGCAGTTGGAATTCTTGGGCTGGTCATTGGATCGGGTCCCAATGACTTAATGATCGACGAGCTAGCTCACCTTGTAACAAGAAGGTCCTGCGTTCAAACCTTCGTGGACGTGTGCTAATAAAGAGTCCCAAAATAGGGCGAAACAGCTGTCCAGTACACCCGTTGTCAGCTCATGATGAAATCCTGTTGCCAATCAGTCAAATCCCTACAAACCAATTCTTGAATGTAGTAATTGGACAAAGAGGTGGAATTCAGATTTCTCTTGGAAACAAAGATGGACTAGAGACAAAATACAAGACAGAACAGCAGATTTAATTTACACATAACATGGTGGAGACTTCAGGAGGGTGGTGGTTGGACGAATAGTGAAGTAAAATTATAAAATAAATAAAAACAGGTTTAGAACCTTAACAGTGAGTTCAACTCAGTCATTGAGTGAAAATCAAAATCAAGTTTGAGTGGAATCCTATGCAGCAGAAAAAACAACATAAAAGCACACGAATGAAATTTATTTATTTACTATGTGCGCAGTTGAAGAGAATCCACGAAATAAAACAAGCTCGTATTATCTTGCAAATATATTCGTTCTTTCTTTGTTCAAAATAATATTATGGTGATTTAAATTTAGAACCTGATGAAGAAGAGATTATTAAAAAGGAATGTTCTTCGTTCACTAATTAGTCATTTAAATTTCATAGTTACACAGGTAATTTAGCTGTTTTGACATCTTCTAAAAATAAGTACACAGTAATAATTTTAGGCTGATGTCATTTTTCGAAGCTTAGTCATGAAAAAAATCATAAAATATGTATTATAAACATCTTCGTTGAGAATTTTGAGCATAGTATTAGGCTGGTGTTCTCAACGTAATAATTAATTTTCGCTATCAAGATAATATTATTTTATTAAATGGTTGGAGGAAATCAGCAGGAAGTTTTGTCCGATCTAGGTTTCTTGCTTGTTGGCACCCACCAGTCAGCAAGGCGTATATTTATTCTTGAAGGAACTTATGTCTCTCCAGAGATTCGAACCAGTATGATCAAGGGCTGCAGTTGGAGACGTCACCACGGAGCTATTTGAGATTGACCCCCTTGTAGGACAGTATTGGATACTTTGATTGTACACTAGTCAGTAACTAATAT